AACTGGTTGCGGAAGATCAGTGATGTTGAGGGTCATCATGCCCAACACCAAACCAGGCAGCAATGCAGACGTCACATGCGCATCTGAATGTGACTGTCAATTACAGCATGCTCTTCGGTATTATTTACTATTTGTAAAAGGCTGACAGTAGGCTCAGTGATCCCAGCCACAGGGACTGAAATGCAGCCACCTCTGGGGTGGGACACCACAGCTGTTTACCAGCACACAGGGACACTGTGCAACAATTTAGGACGAGAAATGAAGAGGAGTATTTTGTTCTGCTGAGGAGGAACGTGTGCAAAAATAATATGGAACGAACCAGATTTCAGTTCGTTTCTGGTCAGGACACTCGCAAAACTTGCCATGAGGGTTCTTCAGTGACCACAGACGGTCAGAATCCCAGGGAGACCTCAGCCTGAATCCGCAGCACAAACACGTTTTCCTTTAAAACAACTGGGCTGCCGCACAGACGCTGCTTTCCCGGAGACGACGCAGATGCAGCTACTTCACTCACACCTCCAACGTCCAATCAATCTTCTTGGAGGGGTACGTGGCTAGTTAATGCCAAGCCCCCACCACGCTGCTGGATCAGGAATAACTCAGCCCAGGGCAGGACATAAGGGGCAGCTATGACATAGCAGATCAAGCCTGGGGCTGGTAAGTCAGGACTCCTGAGTTCTATCCTTACCCCTGCCACTGACGTGCTGCTTTGCTTTGGGCAAGTCATTTAACTGCTCCATGCCTCCGTTTCCCCTTCTGCAAAATGTTTGCCCACATTCGTAAAGTACTTTGAGATCTACAGATGCAGGGGTAGGCTTCCTGCCCGGCCTCGCTCTGCACCACTCCCGGAAGCGGCTGGCACGTCCCTGCGGCCCCTGACCCAAACTGCCTCCCAGAGCCTGACCCCTCACCCCCTCCTGCACCCCAACCCCCTGCCCCAGCCCAGAGCCCGCACACAAACTCCCTCCCAGAGCCCAACCCCTGCACCTCCTCCCGCACCCCAACCCCCTGCCCCAGCCCAGAGCCTGCACTTTGCACCCAAACTCCCTCCTAGAGCCCAACCCCTCACCCCATTCACCCCAATCCCCCGCCCCAGCCTAGAGCCCGCACCCCTCCCGCAGAGCCTTAGGCAGGTGTGGTGGGGGAGGCAGGATTTGGACCTGTTCTGGGCACCACCAAAAATTATACAAACCTGCCGCCAAGGGACGGCTCCAGGCACCAGCGCAGCAAGCGTGTGCCTGGGGCGGCAAGCTGTGGGGGGCGGCCTGCCGGTCGCTGTGAGGGCAGAAGTCAGGTGGCCTTTGGTGGCGTGCCTGCGGGAGGTCGCCGGTCCTGCGGCTTCGGTGGCGGGTATGCAAAGCCACAGGACCGGCAGATCACCCGCAGAACTGCCGCCAAATCCGCGTGACCGTGGACTGCCCGCAGGCATGCCACCGAAGGCTGCCAGACTGCCGTGCTTGGGGCAGCAAAAAACATAGAGCCTCCCCTGCCTGCCGCCCCTGAAAATGCAGGCTGAGAAGGAATCGGATTGCTCTCTGCAAATACTTCAGGGAGGGAGAAGAGCTGCTGAAGCTAGAGGGCCATGTGGGAACAAGAACAAGTGGCCAGGAGTAAACTTCGGCTGGAAATTAGAAGGTTTCTGACCCTCAGAGGAGGCAGGTTCCGGGACAGCTCCCCACGGGGGCAAACCACCGAACTAGTCTGGAGATGGAGCGTGAGAAGTTTATGAATGGGATGATATGACGGGGCTGCCTCTGAGAGCAGGGGATTGGATGCTATGACCCAGGAGGGCCTTCCAGTCCCGTGCAGAATCCACCACGGCGCTAGGTACGTTCCGTGGTTGATTACCCCCAGCCTCGTTTCCAGTTTGAATTTGAAAAGCATGATTACCACGAGACTCCATCAACCGCCGGGCGCCTGCAGCTTTTAGCCCTAGTAACGGCGTTTCTGGGTGCTAGTCAGTTTGTGCAAAGGGGAAAAGGAAAAGGAAAAGCCTTCAGCGTGAGGCACAAAAACAATAGCAGTGACTCAAATGCCAAAGGCCTCCCGAAAGGTTTCCCTGATGGATTTTCTTCCCCTCTGTCCGTCACACGCAGCGTTCACTATTACTATATATGGGCACTGTAATTCCAAGCAGATTCACAGAATCCGAACACATGTAAATCCCAGCGCTGCGATCCAGGCTTGTGAACCGGGGAGCCAGGTTTAGGGATGGGCCTAAATTTAGGTGGTGGTGGTGTTATTTTAAAGGATTTTACAAAAATACTTTCATGGGTTGTTTGTTTTTCTTTTCAGAGCCATTCAGGGGAAACGTGGCTTGGGGAGGGACTGAATCTACACGTTCCCCCCTCTGATGTTTGCAAACCAAGACCCTGGCCCTGCAAGCCACATGCTTAACTTTTATGCACCTCAAGGCATCCCACTGATTTCAGTGGAACTACTCACCAGGCATAAAGATCAACATGTGTGAGTCCCTTGCCAGCCCGGGGCCCAAGACCTCACACCTGCAGTTGCTTTGCCTGCATATGTGAGCCCAGGATTGGGGCCAATATATTGCTGCCTTGGGCCAATGCCCAAGCAGACATCCCAGCCTCGCCAGGACCTGCCTGAGCCCCAAAGGGAGAGACACAAAGAAGTTACTCATTTAGGAAAGCGAAATTGTTGTGGGATCTTTCCTTGAGCATAAATAACTGGCCCCAATTCAGGAAAACCTCACTGTTTAGCAGAGCATTTAAGCGGGTGCTTAACTTTATACATGTGCTCAAGCCTCATAGACTTCAAGCTCACTGCTTATATGCTTTCCTGAATCAGAATCTCGGCCTGAGTCTCAGTTTCATGCTTCTTTATTGCTGACGGAAGTTATTGCCACCATGAAAAGCAAAGTGGCACCAAATCTGCACAGAAGGTAGGTAAGTTTGGGACTAATTGGAGAGACATTTTAGAGGTAGGCGCATGAGAGTCCCAAAGGGAAACTGACTAGAAACAAATGTGAAACTGACTACATTCTTTCAACTGCCAAGTCCAGAGACAGGTGAAAAAGTAAGACAGGATAAATAATGGAAAGTTGGTTCCTAAAATTCTGCCTGTTTTAAACCAGATTTGAATCCCGATCCTGCAATGAGATCTGCCTCTGCGGATCCAGTAACAGCACTGGGGACTTGTTAGCTCCCCACACCCAATGGGTTTTGATCTTTGAAAACAAAATTAAATGTTGCCCCTTTAAATATATTTCAGAAATAAGACGCATCTACACTTTAATGAGGTACTCAGATATTAGAGCACTGGAGACCACGGACAACAATGGGAACAAAGACATACCTACATATACGCAGCCAGGCAATATTTAACTGGGTGGCGTGCAAAAATCCATTGGTGCCTTTTATTACCGATCAGGGTTCCTATCTCTGTCTCTCCATTTCTACCATGACCTTAGCTGTCGTACCGAGCACCATGTACAAGAATACAGAAAGTAACCTGTCAAGCACAATTAGTGCCACAGCCGCACTGTGTCTAATTAGAAAGTGTCTAATTAGAAAGTTCTTGGGCCAGATCCTCCACTGGTCTAAGTCACCAGAGCTCTGTTGATTTCAATGAAGCTAGGCTGATCTACAGCACCTGTGGACCTGGCCCATTACCTTCCCTTTGATGTTTATTATGGGGGGGTGTATTTGTGGCAACGCTTCACCTGGGTTGATGAAGATGGCATCACCTAATCTGTGCACTGAGCTTTTAGTAACGTGCCCATTGAACAACGTCACCTGGGAAACTGTTCATCCTCCCCCACCGATACAGGGAAAACCTTTCCCTCCACACCCCACCGACAAGCAAAAACTGCCCCAAGTTAGTAACACCCTTGATTCATGTAGGAAGAAGGCTTTTCTATAAAGCATCCCTCACCCACCTGCTAGCAACAGTTCAGGGAGATCGGCTTCAGGAATTGTAAACCCCCATCCAGAATAAAACCACAAGCCACCGCTCGCATGCAAGGAAACCCACGACTAGTGAAATGCTGCTAGTTCATCAGCCCACTGTGTCTCCTAGACTGGAAGCCCTCCAGATTCTGTCCCTTTGGTCCAGATCCATGGAGATGAACCCTTGTGCCCGACCACAACTGAAGTCCATGGAGCTCCATGTGGGCACAGGGGTCCCCCATGAGACTCTGGCAGCACGACCAAGTGGATGGAGATGTAGGGGGTGAGGAGACCTGAGTTCTATTCCTGGCTCTTCTACCAGCCTGCTGGGTGACCTTGGGCAAGTCACTTTACCTGCCTGTCCCTCCGTTTTCCCATCTGTAAAATGGGGGTCAGGATGCTGACCTCCTTTGTAAAGCACGTTGAGCTCTCCTGATGCTAAGAGCTGGGTCTTATTATTACTTGTTGATTCAGCGCCCTGCACCATGGCGCTCCGATCCCCCCCGGGGGCTGGGGGCATGCCACTAATCATGCAGGGTTTTGTCCCCTGCTCACTGTCCTGGTATTGGAGCACAGCGGGGGCTAGACACACACAAGACAGGAGCAGCCGGGCTGACAAATTTAAGATAAACCGACTTCACAACAGAAAAAGGGGAGCCGAGGTGCCAAGGCAACGAACGATAGGAAACCCCAGGGCATGTGTCTCCATCCGGCGTCTCTCCATCGGGATTCAATCCCGGGACAGAGCATCTACATCGGGGAGGAGGACCAGCAATCCCCTAGCCAGAGACCATCTGTCATCTGCAGCCAGGGCCCCCGGATTCACACCGGTGTCCCCGGGGACCAGCCCCGTCTCCCTGCCAGTGCCTCGGGGGGGATCTCTGCCCCCAAGAGACAGAGGGGCAGCAGCACCCACCCCACGGCTGGGAAGTTATGGGACCTGCACCCAGGGAGACCAACCGCGGAGGGGGGAGAGTTTTCCTTGGCTGCCCCCCAATAAAACCTCTCCCCCGTAAGTGGCCATGGGGGTCCGGTCCTCCTGTCCCCCCCCGCGCCCCGTGTAGCCGGGGGGACCCGGCGCCCCCTCACCTCGGAAAGTCAGGCTGGCCACGGGGTCGCTCTGCCTGTCCCGCTTCTCCAGGTTGGGGAGGCTGGAGGCTCCGAGCAGCAGGCAGCGCAGCATGGCTCCGCCGGCCGGCCGGGGGCGCAGGGCAGCGAGACCGAGCGCCGCGGCCGGGCGGGCGGCGAGTGGGGGCGGGAGGAGCAGCTGCGGCGCCGGCCCCTGGAGCGCCTCGGCGCGGCCGGCCGGGATGCTGCGGGCAGCCGGTCCCGGCACCGTCAGCATCAGCCCCGCGGCGCGGCGCGCAACCGGCCGCTCGGGCCAGCAGGGGGCGCTGCTGAGAGCCGTGGGCGGGCCTGGGAGCGGGGCTCGGCAACACCTGCTGCCCGCCACAGACCGGGCCGGGGGACCGGTC